AGAGAGTGCTACAACCAGTTCCTTCTTCGAACACCATGAGATTGGTGTACTACCGAACATAAAGATGTAACCCGCCGTAGATTTCCGATCATCTTTATCTCCGCACCAATTAGAATCGGTGTAGCCAAATAAAGTACATTTGCGACCCATATCCGATGTGGGAAACAAAATACCACAATCAAGAGTACCTTTCACATATCTAAGGATTCTCTTGATCGCCGCCAAGTGAGACACCTTAGGTCTCTCCATGAATCTACTCGCAATACCGACACTAAAAGCCAAATTCGGTCGAGTATTGCACAAGTACCGTAACGACCCAATCAAACTCCGGTAAAGTGTTGGATCCACATCATCCTCATCATCACTTTTGGAAAATTGTACTCTAGCCTCACAAGGTGTAATAGAAGCATTACAATGCTCCATCTCACACTTTTTCAAGATATCTAGAGCATACCTCCTTTGATGCATAAGCAGCCCCACTTTTGACTTGTGAAACTCTATGCCAAGAAAGTAACTCATGACACCAAGGTCTGTCATCTAAAACTCACTCATGAGCTCCACTTTGAACCTTGAAATACTCTTGTTATTGCTGCCCGTAATCAAGAGATCATCAACATACAAGCAAAGTATAATAACACCATCAATAGTATTCGATCTCACATAAACACCATGTTCGGATACACACCGTTTGAAGACGATGTCAATAAGAAAGTCGTCTATACGTTTGTTCCAAGCTCTCGGAGCTTGTTTCAAACCATACAACGCCTTGTGTAGCTTGTAGTATTTCTTCTCTTGATTTTTGATCACGAAATCGGGTGGCTGCCCCACATAAACCTCCTCATCAAGAGGACCATTCAAAAACACAGATTTCACATCCATTTGGTAAATCACCCAATTGTTACTATGCGCAATTCCAACAACCAAACGAATAGTCTCTAATCTAGCCACCAGTGTGAATACCTCCTCGTAGTCTATGCCTTCACGTTGCAAGAACCCTTTCGCCACTAATCGAGCTTTGTGCTTGATTACTTCACCTTTAGGATTTGCTTTAACTTTATAGACCCATCGCACACATATCGGTTTCTTTCCAAGTGGTAAATCGACCAACTCCCAAGTACCATTTTTCTCAATAGAATCCAGCTCCTCTTTCATTGCACATATCCATTTAGGATCACTTAAGGCTTCCTCCTCATTTACCGGTTCAGATTCGGCCATAAGCGCGAAATGAACAAAATGACCATCATTATTCACTTCGTTATCTTGGAACCTTTCGCAATCTCGGAGTCCATGAGGCAAGGCTCTTTGCCTCACTGGTCTACCATTATTCACAACATCATTTTCCGCTACTATAGGTGCAAGTACAGCGGCATCGGAATTCTCCGGATCAAACAAATCAACAAATTGCTGCTGTTCAGCAGGATGTAACCGATTAGCAACAAACTGCTGCTGTTCAGCAGGATGTAACCGATTAGCAACAAACTGCTGCTGCTGTTCACCTACTGTTTCAGCAGTTTTTATTTCATCAAACTGCATATACCGGGTTATCACGATTTTCCGATTCCTCTCATCAAATAGCTTGTAACCTCCCGTAGAGTGATATCCAACAAATATCAATTTCTCACCTTTATCATCCAATTTCTTTCTAAGTTGATTCGGTACATGACGATATGCCATCGATCCAAAAATGTGCAAATGATTCACACTCGGTTTGAAACCACTCCAAACCTCTTATGGTGTGATTGTCTCCAGCTTCTTAGTAGGACACCTATTCAACAAGTAGGTGATTGTAGACACGGCCTCACCCCACATTTCTTTAGGTAACTTCTTCCCACAAAGCATACTACGCACCATGTTCATTATTGTACGATTTTTCCTCTCGGCAGCTTCGTTTTGTTGAGGCGTATATGGAGGCACCACCTCACGCACAATACCCTAAAGATCACAAAACTTCCCAAACTCACTAGAGGTATATTCACCTCTACCATCAGTTTTGAGAATTTTGAGCTTCCGACCGCTTTGACGCTCCACCATGGATTTGAAACTCTTGAACACTCCAAACACCTCATCCTTTCTCTTGATAAGATATATCCAAAGCTTCCTACTAAAATCGTCAATGAACGTAACAAAATATCGATTGCCGCCATAAGTCTCTACTTGCATCGGTCCACAAACATCAAAATACACCACCTCAAGTAAGCCTTTGGTTCTTCGACCCACGTCCTTGCTAAACACATTCATGTGTTGCTTACTCTTCACACATTCCTCACATAATTCTGTCGGAACACTAATATGTGGCAGCCCCGTTACCATTTCACTTTGTTGCAACATTTTAAATTCCCTAAAGTTTAGGTTACCAAGACGGTAATGCCATAACCACTCATCTCTACTTGCCGCGGTAGCTAAACAACGATGCTCCATAACCTTTAACTCAACCTTAAAAGTTCTATTGGCAGCCATCGACGCTTTTAGAATCAACACACCGTTTGAATCTAAAACGCGTAACATCTTATTCTCCAGCCGAATTAAGTACCCTCTTTCAAGTAATTGGCCAATGCTTAAAAGATTGCACTTAATTCCCGGTATGTACAAGACATCTTTGATCCTAGAGTGTCCACCATTCTTTCTTTCGATCAAAACATCTCTTACCCCTTCGGCTCTTAAAGTGGTGTCATCGGCAAACTTGACTTTACTCTTTGCCGCTTGATTGATTTGCACAAACCAATCCTTTCGACCCGTCATATGTGTTGAACAATCAGAATCCAAGTACCACTCATCTTTACTTTGAACTTCATCATGCATGGTAAGTAATGCATTTCGATCCGAATGCATTTTTCCACCACTTTCTGAAACTGTACAACTGCTGTCCCGCAGACTATCACCACAGTAGCTGCTGCCCCGGAACATCAACAATGCCATAATTCTCTTCCGTAATCATCACAAGAAGGGTATCTTCATCAGCTACCTCTTCCCTATCAACCTTAGCCTCATCCGCATCCTTTTCCTTGCGTTTTGAGCGACATTCTTTCGCAAAATGCCCAAGCTTTTGACAATTATAACACTTCACAGAACTTTTGTCAAACGGTTTGTGGGCGCTTTGATTACCATCTTTGGAGCTTCCTTCACCCTTTTAATTTTGTGGATATTTTTCACCAAAATTCTTCTTATTTTTAGTAGTCCACTTCCCTTTCGATCTATTGTTCTTCTCATGTAAACGCGCTTGCAAAGCGATCTCCGCTTTGGCTTTGTCGGCACTCTCTCATCCATCCTTTGTTCATGCGCCTCTAACGAACTTTGCAACTCATCTTTGCTCAAAGTTGTTAGATCCTTTGACTCCTCAATAGTCACAACAATGTTATCGAAACGTGATGTTAACGAACACAATACTTTCGATACAACATTCTGCTCAAGGATCGTTTCGCCACATGACTTGATTTGGTTGACTAACCGTGTAATGCGCGTGATGTAATCGTTGATCGTTTCTTTGTCCTCCATTTGCGTTAACTCGAATTGACGTTTGTAAGTTTGTAACCTTACCACCTTCGCTTTGACGTCACCGGCATACGCTTTCTCCAAGATTTCCCATGCTTGCTTCGCGGATTCACAATCACCAACCTTCTCGAAATTGTCGTTATCAACACAAGAGTGAATCAAGAATAGGGCTTTGTAATCCTTTTTCTTTTCTTCCTTGTGTGTAGCCCTACGAGCATCGGTAGCATCTGCCCCCAACGGTGTAACTCCATTGATGACGATCTCAAGCACCTCTTGATAACCAAACAAAACCTTCATTTGTTTCGCCCATTTGTCGTAGTTCTTCGAATCAAGAATTGGGAGATTGGTGGGAATTCGATCATTGGAAACGGTAGCCACTGTTGCAGCGAATTAGGATCAATAACCGGAGCTCTTGATGCCAAATGTTGGGAACAACATAAAACATAAAACCAGAGCTTTGAAGGTAGTAACAATGGTGAAAAGAAACTTGATAAAGATGAAATGAGAGAGAGAGAGAGAGAGAGAGAGAGAGAGAGAGAGAGAGAGAGAGAGAGAGAGAGAGAGAGAGAGAGAGAGAGAGAGAGAGAGAGAGAGAGAGAATTAGGGTAGAGAGTAATATTGGTGAATCAAAATTGGCATTAACATTGAATTGGGATTACAACAATGTATATATACACACGAGAGAATAGTACAACTAATAACCAAAACCAACTAAAGTGCCATGCTGTTAAATTCTGCTATTTTTGAAAAAACTAACAACTGTAATCGATTAGCAACAACTTGCTGAATTTTCAAAAAAACAGATTTTTAACAGCTCACAACAAGCATTGTATTGAATTTTGTAGGTTTTTTTCTTAAGGAATGGCATGGAGCATGACTCAAGGATGGTATCATAGGCCTAGAAAGGAAACTGCAAGATAGTCTAAAAAGGCCTTTGGAAAAGAAGATGAACATTATGTTTTAGGCTTAGAAACAAGATTTTTGGGTAGCTTTTGATGTATGTGAAATAGTTTGAACTTGTAATGGTTTATGGATGTAACAAAACTTGGTTGGAATTGTAATGCTTCTATGCCTTTGTAGTAAATTAATGTAACATGGTGTATGACACTTCTTGTAATGTAACTTGTTTTGTGTAATTTCTTTATGTAATAGGCTAAGGTAGTGACTTGAATGGATCTTTGGATTTGTCCATGTTTTGAAATATAGTTGGATAATTGAGTACACCTTATTTGATCTTATGCTTGTGAAATCTCAATGTCTCACATTTTATCAATTTGAATGAACTCTCTTGCTTGAATATCTTCAAATGAACGAATCTAAGCATCCTTAAATCAACTTGAGTGAATCCATGCTTAGATGTCTTCATGTACTTTAATTTAAAACCCTAATCTTCCATACGAAGCTTTAGATTTTGATCTCAAGACATTGAAATGAAATGTGAAAAAAGTAGATTGTATCACAAGTAAGCCAATCGACTAGATGAGGAGCTTTGCATCATAAGGTATAGAAACCCTAATTTGTGAAGAAGGTCCAACTGAATCTTCTTCTCTGGAATAGAGCTTGTGCCCACATGACTTGAGATTCAAGCAATGATTTCCTTCTTATTTTCCAAAGATATATCAAATGAAACTCCAGTTATTCATGGACGATATCCTCTGATGATCACAACTTCACAAATAAACCTCTTTTGAATGGTACATGATTTAGAGAAATAAACCTTTATCAAAGGATGATGGTGAGTACAAGGAGATGATGAATGTCTGATTTAGTAGCCCTTAGGCGGCCTTGTAGAATAACTTGAAAATGCACATGGGAATACAAAAAGAAATATGACCAAGATGGCCTTGACATAAAAACCCAATGAACCTTAGTTGGTGAAATGCTAACGAGAACCAACTTGCTAGAGAAAAACTCCAACTCTTTCCTTGAATTCATCTTAATGAGTAATAGCCCCGTATCTTGAAGATAATGGAACCCTCAATAACCATAGATCTCAACCCTAATTCCACACTTTATTGCTTGAAGAATAACAAGAAGAAATAAACTATATTGAATATATACACCTTAATCACTAAAAACCCTAACTTGTACAATTAGCTGATCTTTTAAACCTCATGGTATTTATTGAATGCGATGTATGCTATGTTAGTGGCCTAATAGAATATATGCAGACGAATGCAAAAGTCTAAGCCAGATAAAAGAAATTAGGAGGGAAAATTTTGGGGTGCAACAACTTCCCCTATTTAATCGTCTTCAACCTGAAGGTGAGATTGGCGCTAGTCTTTCGAACTTTCAATGTGGAAGAAGATTAAATACTTAAAAGAACCTAAAAATCTGCACTCCGAAGCTAGTCAGGTAATATTATATTTTTTTGTTTTCTGTATTTTCTATTTTTTTTTTTGCTTTTTGGGTTAAAGGGGTTATCGGGGATAAATGTATGTCAGGCCAGGGTTAGACACATAGAAGAGAACTTGGTTATCAAGGAACATTTGTTTGGAGTTGGTAGTGAACACATGACAAGAAAGATATCGAAAATACATGTTCAGGGTTGGTAGCGAACACATACGAGAAAGATATCGAAGATATATGTCTCGAGTTGGTAGCAAACACATACGAGAGAGATATCAAAGATATATGTATCTGGATTCGATAGCAGATGCCTACAAAAAAGATATAAAAAATATATGTATCCGGAGTCGGTAGCGGATACATACTAAAGAGACAGATCGAAGAAAGCTCTAACAAAGATATCAAGAATACATGTTTGGAGTTGGTAGCAGACACATACGGAAGATATCAAAGATATATGCCCGGTGTCAGTAGCATACATACAAAAAAGATATCAAAAATACATATCCAGAATCGGTAGCAGATACATACGAAAGAGACAGACTGAAGAAATCTCTAACAAAGATATCAAGAATATGTGTCTGGATTTGGTAGCAGACACATATGGAAGATATCAAAGATATATGCCCGGATTCAGTAGTGAACATACGAAAAAGATATCAAAGATGGAAGAAATTCGTCAAATGAATCTCAACTGAAGATATCAAAGATGGAAGAAATCTGTCAAATCGATCTCAACCGGTATCAAAGATGGAAGAAATTTGTCAAATCAATCTCAACCGGATATCAAAGATGGAAGAAATCTGTCAAATCGATCTCAGCCGGATATCAAAGATGGAAGAAATCTGTCAAATCAATCTCAACCAGATATCAAAGATGGAAGAAATATGTCATAGTGATTTCAACCAAATACATCAAGGGAGGAAGAAATCTAACACATCGATTTCAACCAAAGATATAAAGAAGGAAGAGACCTAACACAACAGACTCGACCGAAAATATTTAAGATGGAAGATATCTAACAAAGTGATCTTGACCATATATCTAGGAGGGAGGAAATATAACACAACGATTTCGACTAAAGATATCAAAGAGAGGAAGAAATCTAACACATCGATTTCATCCAAAGATATCAAAGAAGGAAGAGACCTAACACAACTGACTCAACCGAAGATATCGAAGTTGGAAGAGATCTAACAAAGTGATCTCGACCAGATATATCAAAGAGAGGAAGAGATCTAACAAAGCAATTTCAACCGAAGATATCAAAGAAGGAAAAGACCTAATATAGCGGACTCGACCGAAGATATCGAAGTTGGAAGAGATCAAACAAAGAAATCTCAACCAGATATATCAAGGAAGGAAGAAATCTAACACAACAATTTCAACCGAAGATATCAAAGTTGGAAGAGATCTAACAAAGAAATCTCGACCAGATATATCAAGGAAGGAAGAAATATAACACAATGATTTCAACTGAAGATATCAAAGAAGGAAGAGACCTCACACAATGATTTCAACCGAATATATCAATGGGTGAAGGAAATCTAACACAATGATTTCAACCAAATATATCAAACAAGGAAAACTAACCGCAAATAGACTCCTGGATAAAGAACACCGATTGAAGGTGAAATGGGGATAAAATATACGTGTCTAGTCAGAATTAAACACATATAAGAAAGAGACCGACCGAAGTAGACTCTTAAAAAAGGATGCCTACACAAAGGCGAATTAACAAATAAGCTAATCCAAAGGTAGACTCCTAAAAATTGAAGTTGATCAAAGGCGAACTCCACAGTGAAAAGAAGACTAACCGAAGGTAGACTTTTGGAGAGAGAATGCTGACCAAAGGCGGAATTTTTGGGGATACAACGTGACATTGACTCTGAATAGAACGTTGATCGAATGCGAACTTATAAAGAAAAATACCAACCAAAGGGGACTCTTGGGAAACTAAATTACTGGGAATTCACGTTTGTATTGAACCCAAACAGAACGTCGGTCGAAGGCAAACTTACGATTAGAAAAAAAAAGACCAATTGTAGGGACTCTAAATAAGGATTGCCAACACACGTTGGACTTTAAGAGATTGCA